CGACGCACTTTTAACTATTTCTAGAAGAACAATTAAATATAGAATAATTATAGCGTTTTGTGCTGTCGCGGAAAAAAACGCAACATTTTGTTTCCTAATGCAGTGTAGCGCCGTTGCGGATTTTCGAAATGCTGATATTACTGGATCAATGCTTTTTGCGAGACTGAACTAAAATTAGTGTCGATCATGGGTTGTTGACTGCGGAGGAAGATTTTACCATGTGACTCACTTATCTGATTCATCAGATCGGCTCGCCGTAAGATATGATCAAGCAGAAAATATCCTTTATATTCAAAGCCATGGTCTGCTGCATATTCATCAAAAAGTCCTTTCACTTGCTCTTGGGTAAGATTGGGGTGTTGGAAAGTTGCTGAGCATTGAAAGGTGAAACAGTCTTCTTAGACATATCCACATGAAGGAATGGCAAATGTTCCAATAGCAACCATTGCATGGATGATAGTTTTGCCATACAGCCCATGCTTGATTGTGCAGATGGCTTCAAGGAACTCATCACAGATTGCAGGATTTGCACTATACAGCTTGTCAAACTCATCAAGGAAGACAACCAGCTGTAATGACCTATAGAAAAAATGCAAAATGTTATTATAGGCCAAAGAAAGATCCAGCACACTAGAAAATACTCTTACTTGTGGACCCAGTAACTGAGATGGGAGGATTAAGTATTACACTGCTGTTGGAGATTTTGAAGATATCTCTTCATGTACTCTGTAAGGCATATCAACCATGTATACTTTTCGGTTGACCCAACGAAAGGTATTGTAGTCTTTCACTGAAATGTTTGCCCCAATCTGCAATAGCAAGGGCAAACTGCAATCCATGCAAGTCAACACTAGTACTAGTAATAACATACTTTACATAATTTTTAGACCTTCTAGGTTAAGTGACTACCCGTCAGGATGCAGGAGCCTAATTACTTAGGGCTATGACGGTCTAATAAGTACAGAGAAACCCCTCTAAATGCACACCCTCCCTAAATGCACGGTTTGGCACGGTCCCGAGCTTGGGACTTAGTGATAAATGCACACCGCACATGCAATGATTTTTTGGTCCCGTCCATATAAACTATTATTTCCTAAATGCATGCACGTGATTAATATTTATATTGACC